ATTACTTCCTATGCTCAAAAAGCACACACACGAACACACACATATTGCAAAGAGTGCCTTCATCTCTCCGCACTATGGCACATGGACAATTGGACAGTTACTAGTGATATTCAAGGATGTTGTTCTTGGTCTTTTTGATTCCTGAGATTTAATTGTATTATTATTAGCGAATCAATGAATAAAGGGATAAATAATGCCTAACTAAAGGAAGAAAAAGATATCCCATATATACCAATGATGAGTATTCTGAGATGTAGTCAAAGTTTAACAGAGATTATTTTTTTTTTAATTTCAGATAGTTCAGTTATTTATTTATTTAAACAATACAAAAAGACATTATTAATACACAGAGAAGCATCTAATTATTTTTTTATAGCCTTTTATTTTTTTTTCAATTAACTGATTTATTTTTGTTACAGATGTTTCTCCTTTTCCCCCCACTGATTCCCCCCTCCCTCTCTCTCCTCACTCTGTCCCCAGCTTTGTTGTCCATGTCCATTGTTCATGCATACATGCATATAAGTTCTGTGGTTTATCTCTCCCCCAGGATTTTGATTAAACTCTGTAACTTTGAGGTTCATTAGAGAAAAGGAATCTAGTTGTTTTCTCTGAAGGAGAGGGACTTCCTGCGAGATTTAGGAGTAGAAAGATTCGGTTCTTGAACTTTAGTGCTCAGTGTCTGTGTGATGTATCACACGTGAAGCAATGCAAGAATAAAGATAGTCAGTGCATGATAACCAATTACCTGAGTCTGCGGTGAAACGGGTTATTAACTCGTTATTTCCTGAAGCACCAAGTTTCATAATCGAAATATACCAAGTCTCTCTTACTGTTTCCCATAAAGGACACATCTTATTCCATGAGATTCCATGTTGTTTTGGATTGGTGATGGATTGCTGGTTGTTGGTTTTATTTATAAGAAAAACAAATCATTTACATGAAAAATAATTGTTTAAATAAGTGCCTAATTGAAAGGAGACCAAGCAGAGACTAATGTGAAGAGTATGATAGTAGGTATGATCACATCAATTCTGTATACTGACTATAATTAAAAAACAATAAAGGATCTTGCAGGTTGTACCTGTGGACAATGAGCATATGGACAGATACTAGAACTAGTCAATGCTGTTTGTCCAGTGTCTTAGCTTGCATTTGTTTTGAATGTATTGTTAAAAGTGAGTGAATAAATGAGTTCATATTTTGGTCAATTATTTAAAAGAAGTAACCTTTGATAAATGATTGGATGAAGATGAAGTGGTACATGTATACAATGGAATACTACTCAACCATAAAAAAGAAATATTGCCAACTGTGACAGTGTGGATGGATCTTGAGAATAACATGCTAAGTGAAATAAGTCATACAGAAAAAATTAAGGACCTTATTGATTTCACTCATGTCGGATATCAAACTGAAAGCAACAAATGAATAATTAAGAAATACAAACAAAGAGAAACTCAGACGCAGACAACTGCATGGTGGTTACCAGAGGGAAGGGGGTGGGGAGTAGTAAGAGGTAAGGAGGGTCAAGGATATGGTGATGGAAAAAGAATTGACCCACAATGAAATATATAAGTGATGTATCATAGAATAGTACACTTGAAACCTACTTACGTAGGTAATCTTATTAACTAATGTCACCCCAATAAAATTAATTTTAAAAACAGAAAAAATGTAAAGAAGGCGAAGCATGGGTCAACAAGGAGTAGGTGTCATGAAATGAAGATGATGATTAAATGATTCTAGATTAAAAAGAAATTAGATTTATCTTCCATTGGACAAAGTGCTTGTCAGCAGTTGTATGAAATGATGTTTCAATTCTGGATTACGGGTAGGTTTTACTTGTTTTCATTGAAAAATGAATAAATGATCAAATTATTCTTTGAGTAATTAAATAGAAGAAACATGAGTGAGTCAATAAATGTGTTAATTAGGGTAAATGTTTGGGCTAATCCTTCATGGCACACTCTAAGCGATTTGTGAGTATGGTCCTTAAAAATGATTAATGAGGCAGTGAATTATTTGTTCAGGGCGTAAGTACATAGATGGATATTAGTACTAGTTATGTTTATTACTCTTTTGTTGGGTAGTACATTTAACAGTGTTTATGACAGTAATTAAAAATTAAACGGTAAATATGACAGTACATAAAAAGTAGAGTCATTCTTGAGTCGATAATGAGAACATGAGACAAACCAAGACTTGTGATTCATCTAATACCTCATGACTCTCGTTCATTAGAAAAAAGTTAAGTCTGCTGTTTCCTTCTGTGTAAAATGTGCATTTCACTTTAAAGAATGAAAACACTGTAGCTGATTTAATTACTCAATACCAATGAAGGTTTCAGGTTTTAACTCTGGTAAGGAGCCTGGGGAGTGGTGTCGATACTAGTCAAAGTTCAAATTCACACCCTTGGTTTAGATGGTTTGGTCATCATGACATGTCAAAGGAATACATACTAAATACATGAATAAAACCACGGGTGCCTCCTAGTAATGGAAATTAACTAAAGTTTCCAGTTAATCCAATGCAGTGCCAGGAGGGTCTATTAAAAATAATGGAGGACTTTTAACCATGTTCAGAGTTTTTATTTTTATTTAAAAAAATTTTTTTCTTTATTGGTTTTAGAGAGAGAGGACATGATAAGGAGAGAGAGACAGAAACATCGATGAGAGAGAACATCGACTGGCCACCTCCTGCATGCCCCCCACTGGGGCCTGGGCCCACAACCTGGGCATGTGTCCTGACCGGGAATCGAACCGGTCACCTCTTGGTGCATGGGGCAATGCTCAACCACTGAATCACACTGGCTGGATATGTTCAGAGTTTTTAATGTAATATTTTATTCTGTACTTCTGCAGATTTTTTAAAAAAATTATTTATTTATTTTTTTGTTACAGATGTTTTTCCTTTTTTATCCCATTGACACCCTCCTCCCCACCCCACCCCAGCTCCATCCCCAGCTTTGTTGTCCATGTCCATTGGTTATGCATACATGCATATAAGTTCTGTGGTTTAGCTCTTCCCACCCACCCCCACCTCTTCTGAGGGATGTCAGTCTGGCCCTACTTCCATGTTTCTGTGTCTACCATATTCCTCAGACTGTTATGTTCATTATATTCCGTATATAAGTGAGATCATGTGGTATTTGTCTTTTTCTACGTGGCTTATTTCACTTAGGATAATAATTTCCAGGTCCCTCCATGTCATCTCAAAGGATAAGAGATCTTTCTTTCTTATAGCTGCATAGTACTCCATTGTGTATATGTACCACAGCTTTTTTATCCATTCGTCTACTGATGGACACTTGGGCTGTTTCCAGATCTTAGCTGTTGTAAATAGTGCTGCTATGAACGTGGGGGTACATATATTCTTCCTGATTGGTGTTTCAGGCTTCTTAGGGTATATTTCTAGATTTAAACATTTCTAGGCCATTACCTCCTCAAGGGGAGAGCAGATAGGATAGGGAAGATAATACCACTGCAAGACATGATGCTGGCTGGTTGATCATTGTATTGTATTAGTTATCTATTGCTGTGTAACAAGTTGACCTACAGGGAAGAGGCTTTACACAACAGTACACATTTGTTATCTGTCCCAGTTTCTTTGGGGCAAGAATCCCGGAGAGGTTAGTGGGCCATTGGCTTGGGTCTATTGTGCGGTTGCAGTTGAGTTTCAGGTAGACTTGCAGTCATCTGAACGCTTGACTGGGGCCGGAGGAAATGCTCCCACGGCTCACTCACGTGGCTGGAGGCTTGTTGGTGGGAGGCCACGATTACTCCACGGACCTGCCCTCAGGACTGCCTGAGTAGCCTCGCCGTAGGACACCTGGCTTTCCCTAGAGCAGGTGCTCCAGGAGGGAGGAAGGGGGAAGCCGAGTAGGTTTCCCACCTGACTCAAGTCCTACACCGTCACTTCCACAGTATCCTATTGCTCGTGGAGGTCGGGAATGACGCAACGTAGGAGGCTGCACAAGGTTCTCAATACCAGGAGTCATTTTGGAGGCTGGCTACCACATACAGCTTCTTTAAAAGGTGCAAAGTTAAGTAAAAGAAGGGTAAACGTGGACGAGGTTTAAATATGGGATTGATGTGAAGCAAAGAAGTTGATAATCTGTATGTGCAGGGTGTCCCGAAAAATGTATACACAACTGGAATGATTACGAAGTCAGTGTTTATTAACAAACAGTTCATTGTCAAAGTGTAAAAGAATCTACAGAAGGGAATACTTTGTTTGTCCATGCCTGTGTTCAGTCGGATGCCGGTTCTCCCCAGGCAGTGGGCGAAGGCGGAGCAATGGTCGCAGACCTCGAGAGTCATTTTGCTCAGGGTTTGCGTCATTCGCGTTCCATAGCTGTCCTCAGCTCGGCGGCTGTTGCTGATTTTGTACCCTAAACTTTATCTTTTACGTATCCCCATAAAATAGTCCAGTGGATAAATTTTGTTGAAAGCTTAGTTTGGCTTTACTCATTATTTCAAATCAGTTAAACCTGAAAAGGAGTGAGAATGAAGTGAGTTATCAGCTGTTAGCTGTGGATACATTTTTTAGCACACCCTATATAATGCTGAGATCCATCGCAAAAGAGATGTAGTCTTAGTTTTATGTAAAACAAACCTGTAGATATAGCATAGTAATAGTCTAGGATTTTGTTTGTAGTTTTTTTTTGGTTTTAAATTTTCTTTTTTTTAAAATTGATTTTAGAGAGAGAGGAAGGGAGAGTAAGAGAGAGATAGAAACATTGATGAGAGAGAACATTGATTGGCTGCCTCCTGCATGCTCCCCACCTGCATGCCCCCCACTGAGGATCGGGCCCTCAACCTGGGCATGTGTCCTGACCAGGAATCAAACTGTTGACCTCTTGGTGCATGGGTCGACGCTCAACCACTGAGCCACACCGGCAGGGTGGGCTGTTTTTAGGTATTTTTCACTCATGTATTAGTGTCTTAATGAGGGAATCAATAAACAAAGGTATGAATGAATGAATAAAAGGATGCCCGCTTTGGACCAGTGATGAGCATTCTTGGGTGTCTGAATCAATGATTGTGATTAAATTTTATAACTCTGAGGTCAGAGCCTAGTTAAGCCTATATGGTCAATAAGCTTACAGCAGAAGTTAGTAATATCTAGGATTTTGTTCTTGGGCTACTAAGGTTTATAGGTCAAGGTTGTGTAAGTGAATTGATAAATGATTAAATAAATCTATGAAGACAAGGAGAGCCATATGTGTCCTGATAGTGTGTAATGTATTTATTTTTAATACATTTCTGATGCACTCACTTCCAATAGAAAGTGATTAAATCTGATACTTATTTGGCCAAGGAATATATAGAATTAGCTGCCTAGAAATCAATGCCGCTGTTCTGCATTGTTTGAGAGGTGCTGGTTGCTTATTGAACATAAGAAAATGTGATCTAGTTGGTTGTATCTGAGAGTAATGAGCACATGAACAGCTGTTAATACCATTCAGATTTCAACTTCACTTTGTGTGTTCATGGATATTGACAAGATTATTAGTGAATGTATAAGCACACTCATCTCTCAGATAATTGTTTTGAAAACAAGGATTGTTTAGAAAGCAAGATTTCTAAGGCTTACAGTGTTGACATTCGGGGTGGATAATTCATTGGGATGGGAGGCTGTCCTGTTTATTGTAGGATGTTGAGTAAATTCCACTGGATACTGATATTGACCACTCCTCTCCAAATGTAACAATAAGAAAAATATGTCTAAAGACATGTAGTTGTCCTCAGGGGGCAACATTGTCCCCGTGAAGAGCCATAGGTGGTAAAGCATGGACCACTGCGGAGCATGTGTTAAAAAACAGTGAGTTATCTGTCCTGTTGTACTTTATTGATAACCAAGTTAAAAACCGAAAACCAAAACCAAAACCAAAAAACTAGGCTCTTCCCACTTTGGGTCAGGTTCACCTAGAAAAATTTAAAAATTAACTATAGTTGGTCTGCAATATTAGTTATATTAGTTTCAGGTGTACAATATAGTGACTTGACATTTTTATACCTAGTCGTCATCTGTCAAGGTGGTTCTATTTTTAATTTTTTGAGGAATTTCCATACTGTCTTCCATAGTGGCTGCACCAGTCTGTAATCCCGCTAACAGTGCACAGTATCACTGACTGTACTCCCCTCTCCCCTTCACCTTCATCATCCATCCCCCGGCACCTCCCCTCTGGTAACTATCTCTTTTTGTCTGTTTCTATGAGTCTCCTTTTGTTTTATTTTGATTCCACATATCAGTGAAACCATATAGTATTTGTTCTTCTATGTCTGTCTGATTTCACTTAGTTTAATACCCTCTGGGCAATCCATTTTACACTTGATTATACTACAATTTTAGTTTTTGTCTTTTTCTAAATTTCATTTTGAATTACAGTTGACATTCAGTATTAGTTTATGAGTTTCAGGTATATAGCATGGTGGTTGGACAATTATACAATTATTTATCGAGTGATCCGCCCAATAATTCAAGTACCCACCTGAAGCCATGCATAGTTGTTGCAGTATTACTGACTGTATTTTCTGTGTTCTACTTTACATCCTTGTGACTGTTTTGTAACTCCTTAATTCCTTCACCTTCTCCACGCAGCCTCCCAACACCCCTCCCATCTGGCAACTGTCAGTCTCTGTATCTATGAGTCTATTTCTGTTCTATTTGTTCATTTTTACTTTTAGATTTCCCATGTAAGTGAAATCATGTGGTATTTTCCTTTCTCTGAATGACTTACTTCACTTATCATAACACCCTCTGGGTCCATCCATGCTGTCACAAATAGTAAGATTTCATTCTTTTTTATGGCCAAGTAATATTCCATTGCATATATGTACCACCTCTTTTCCCCCCTCCGGGATAATAATTTTTTTATAGCAATAATAGGAATATACAGACAACAATGACAAACAAAAACCAATCAAACACAAATACTTGTTTTTTGCAAAACTCGTCTTAAGCTTTCCTGGCACTATTCAGAAGCTTATGCTTGTTTCTCGGCCCCTCACCCCAGGACCGATGTGTGTTCTTTTACAGAGAGCACCTTGTTCCATCTCTGCAGACATTTATCTCGTCCTCAGTGAGGTCATTCTTGGCTTCATACTCATTACCACCTCTTCTTTACCCACTCATCTATTGATGGGCATTTGGGTTGCTTCCGTAGCTTGCCTGTTGTAAATAACGCTGCTCATAGGGTGCATATGTCTTTCTGCTGTAGCAGTTTGGATTTTTTCAGATATAACCCAGAAGTGGAATTGCTTGGTTATAAGGTAGTTCTATTTTTAATTTTTTGAGGAACCTCCATACTGTTTTCCATAGTGGCTGCACCAATCTGCATTCTCTCACTTTCAGAGTTGACGACTATTCCCTTGTGTTTTAGGCCACAGCTAATTTAAATCTTCACACGTGACCTAGGCTATTGACTGTTGAAGGGGAGCATGTCAGCAGATGGTTGATAGGGTCAGACATCTTGTTCCGGGGTAAGATGGTGGGGTCGTGGTCTTTGTTGTGCCACATTTAAAATATGGACACATTACACAAAAAGGATTAAGCATGGATTAGCAACGAGTACCAGATTTCTTAGAAGCAAGGGGTTTAATTATGCATTGTGTGATGTAGAGAGTCATCTGTTGATCTTGGCCATTTCAAGGTTCTTACTGGGATTTGCGGGGTTTTTATGTGTCAGTTTTGGTGTTGTTAGTGAATCAATGAATGGATGGATAAATACATGTGGAGATGAATGAAGGGAAAGAGTGGCAAGCCTGAGCCAGTGATGGGTGTCCTGGGATGTCTGAATTAGGAATGTCGATTAAGCCTGATAGCTGTGAGATCCATTAGAGAAAGAAAATTACCCTATTATCTCTGTGGGAAATGAGCATATAGCAGAAGTTAGGAAGTATCAGATCCTGTTTTTTGGTCTATTAAAGTTCTTGAGCATAGATTATACTTTTATAAGTAAATTACTGCGTGGATGAAAGCATAAAATATGTACATTAAGGAGGGCCCCGCCTGGAGTGGTTAGAGTATATAATGAAATAAGAAACACTACTAATACAAGCAAAATAAATAGATCAAGGCTCTTACACCTTTGGGTCAGGAACCTAAAAAGACAACTTTATGCAAGAATCAATGGTGCTGTTGATGGGTAGCAGATTTTTTTTTGTGATATCACTTTCTTTTAAAAAAGACTTTATTTTTTATGCCCTGGCTGGTTTCGCTCAGCGGTTAGAGCGTCGGCCTGCGGTCCGAAGAGACCCGGGTTCGGTTCCCGCTAAGGGCATGTACCTCAGTTGCAGTTTGTCCCTGTCCCTGGTAGGGTCGTGCGAGTGGCAGCCACTCGATGTGTCCCTTTCACATCGATGTTTCTCTCTCTTCCTCTCTCTCCCTCCTGCTCTATCTGAACAAAAAATAGAAAAATGTCCTCGGGTGAGGATAAAAAATAATAATACAAAAATAAATAAAAAAGACTTTATTTTTTAGAGCAGTTTTATGTTCACAACCAAACTGAGAAGAAGGTCTAGAGACTTCCTATAATCCCCCTGTCCCCACACATGCACAGCCTTCCCCAGTATCCGCCTCCCCCACCAGAGTGGTCCGCTTGTTATAATTGATGAACCTACTCTGACACATCATTATCACCCAGAATTCATAGTTTACATTAGGGTTCACTCTTGTTTGTAAATGTAGTGGCCTGAGGCAAATGTATAACGACGTGTATCCATCATTATCGTATCATAAAACTCCTCTGTGCTCTGCCTATTTATTTCTCCCTCCCCTGTAACCTGTGGCCACCTCTAACCCTTTCATTGTCACCAGTTTTGCCTTTTGCAGGTGTCATCTGACTGGTATCATACAGTATGTGACCCTTCTGTCACTTAGTAATATGCATTTCGGTTTCCTGCATGCCTTTTCGTGGCTTGATAGCTTACTTCTTTATAGCTCTGAATAACCTTGCATTGTCTGCATGCAACACTGTTTATCTATTCACCTACTGGAGGATCTCTTGGTTGCTTCCAAGTTTCGGCAGTTATGAATAAAGCTGCTATAAACATTCACGTGCAGGATTTTGTGTGGGCATAAGTTTTCAACTTCTCTTGGGTAAATACCAAGGAGTGCAATTGTGAGATCGTCTGGTAAGAATATGTTTAGTTTTGCCAGAAACTGCCACTCACCACACACCTAGTTGTGTCTCATTGTTGCTTTAATTGGTGACATCTGATGTGGAGCATCTTTTCGGATGCTTATTTGCCATCTGTGTGTCTTCTGTGGTGATGTGTCTGTTAAGGTCTTTGGCTCATTTTTTAATTGGGTTGTTTGTTTTTTATTGTTGATTTTATGTGATTTGAATCACAGTCATTTATCAGATGTATCTTTTGCAAATATTTTTTCCCAGTCTGTGGCTTGTATTTTCTTCTCGTGACAGTTTTTTGGCAGACAAAAGACTCTTAATTTTAATCAAGTCCAGTTTATCAATTATTTCTTTTGTGTTTTGTCTTTGGTCTTATATTTAAAAAGTCATTGACAAACTCAAGGTCTTCTAGATTTTCTTCTATCTCTTTTTTGAAACTTAGTTTAATTTTTATTTTTTCCATCACCGTTTATCCCCTCTATGCCCCCTTCCACCTCTACCCATCCCCTCCCTTTGTTTTATATTTTGGTCGTTGATCCATTTTATAACATATTTTACAACTTGATATTTTTTATTGAATCGTGGGGTGACCTTGGTAAATAAAGTTATATAGGTTTCAGGTGCACAATTCTTTTTTAAAAAAATTAATTTTGTTCTTTCTTGATTTTAGAGAGAGGAAAGAAGGGAGGAGAGAGAGATAGAAACATCAGTGAGAGAGAACATCTATTGGCCGCCTCCTGCATGCCCCGCCCTGGGGATTTGGCCCACGACCTGGGTGTATGCTGTGACTGGGAATCTAACTGGCGACTTCTTGGTGCGTGGGTCGACGCTCAACCACTGAGCCACCCCAGCCAGGCTCAGGTGTAGAGTTCTATAGTACATCATCTTTATATTGTACTGTGTGGTCACCACCCCAAGTCAAGTCTCCTTCCATCACCA